GGCCGAGGCGCCCCCTGCCCCAGGCCGCGCCCGCCGGGGAGCGCTCGGCCTGCGCCCTCCCAGTGCTGCCGGGGCAGCTCCGTGCCGGGACAGCGTCTGGCTCCCTGAGGGCGCTCCTCGTTGGCTGCCGGCAGAGCCCCCACCAAAGGCTCCTAGGCGATGACCCGGGAGAAGTTGAGTTCCCCACGCACCGCAGCGTGGCTACGCGAGCGGCGCAGGGCTCGGCAGGGAGGGCGCTGCCCCCTCGCGCGAGGAGCAAGATGTTCCTCTTTCCCCGGCTGTGGCTGCTGTCACGGCGGCGCTCCAGCTCCCGCCTGTGCAGTGCCCCTCGACCTTCCTGGACGGTGTACTTCCAGCTTCCCCCTGCGGGCCAGGGTTACCTGCTGTGTTACTGCCGAGTGTGGGCACCTCCTTGGCGTCCTGGATTATCCTGAGTCCTGTTCACAGCCTGTTCCTAATCTTGGGTTTTGCTGGGTAGCTTTCCCGTTGCCTGGTCCCTAGGGAGTTGGGGCTGCTAGGGCAGCAGTAGGCGTTGCCTCCTCCCCACCTGCTTGATTGAAACAAACTCCTGGTGGGTGAAAATAATTCTAGGTGTTGTGGGTGGGGGGATGTTTTTTTTTTTGCATGTTGGGCTAAATATCTTGCCTTCACTTTGCATCTGTGACTTTCTCTCCGTGGGATTACATAGTCTCTAGGCTTGACTCTGTGGTTACAGCACAGAGCCAAGCCTATTTGGGGGTGGGGTAGAGTTGGTTGCTTTTGTTCTTATGGAAAAGGTGGCATTATGGTATTTTTCTTGTTTTGTTTTGGCCTTAGCACTTGTTAGTTTCTTGGTTGTCAAAAGCAAGTGTTAAACTCTTGCCTGATTTTTTCTTCGAGTTCAAGAGGCACTTGCTGCTGTTGCTTATTTTGGCTGCTTAAACCTTCTTTAAAACAGCAAGTCTTGTGTGTTGCAATTTGTGGAATGCACTATTTAAAGTTCTAGAGTTGGGGGAGTAAGACATAATGGTGTTTCTAAAAGTTTGCCTTATATGTGGGTTGCATGTTAATTTTATTGCAGTTTCTGGTAACTTAATTGCCTCTGCTTGAGTTTTATTTGTTTTGCTTATTGATTGACACAGAAATGTTTTCTGTGACATCCCATCTGTTTTTTCTGGGAGATGCGTTTTAATTTTTGACTAACTAATGAATTTTGAATGAGAAAAACACACTAACAACAAAGGAATAGAAAATATGTTGCATTTTAATGTAAGGGTGGAAGTTCCTTTGTATTTCAGTTCTAACAATACAACTATTGTTTAGCATTTTCAAATTGGTTAACTCCTGTGAAAAGAGAGGGAGGAGTCATAATTTTAACCTCAGATCTTGAATTGGGTAATCATCTAAAACATAGAAAACCTTGAAAAGATGTGTTAAAATGTATTAGCAGGTATGGCCTTTTTATTCAGTGGGTTTTGGGGTTTTTAATATGTTTTTAGTGTATTCAGGTTTTGGATTAGCAATGTGATACCCTGTTTTCTTTCAGTAACTGGCATTTTTCAAAGTAGTAAAACCTCTCTTCATTCTAGTGTAGTTAATTTTCACTCAAGATCTTAGAGAACAGGATAGAAAACAGTTTGCAATTAAAAATAAATCTGTTAATGTAGTAACCAAGGGTTGCATGCTGTTTTTGTTGCTTGTATGCACTTTCTAGCAAGAATGAAATTTCTAGATGAAGCATATAAGTGATGCTTTGTAATTGCTGGGAGGTGAATGCTGGAATAGTATCGTTTCATGAAAACTAGTTAAAACTAAATTGCAGTACAGAAGCCTGATAAACCTATTGTCTTGTTCCAGTAACCTGAAAGGACTAGTAACAGTAATACCTCACTATAGAAGTTGTATTTCTGGCACTGTGACCTTCACCCAGTTTTCTGATTGAATATTCTTCTAGCATAGGCTTACCTCTGTTGAAAAATGTATAGGTATACAGCTTTTATATAATGCCTGTGAGAGATTTAGATCTAATATGTATGATCCCAGCAGTCTTTCCTGCCCATGTGCAGGGGGGCTGGACCCAATGATCTATAAGGTTCCTTCCAGCCCCTAACAACTATGAAATTATGAACCCTTAAATCACCTTGTTATGTATCAGGACTCCATTGTACTCAGAACTGTGCGGACAGAACAATATGAAGGTCCTTGCCCCAAAGATCATGTTGTCTAAATATATGACAAGAAACCAAAAATTAATGCAGTTATATGGGGGGGAGATATGGGGAGCTGGTGAGACAGCATTGGACTGAATGATAGGCAGGCTGTTGCTTATAGACATTAATGGAAAAGGAGGGTTTTGGGGGAGTATGATCAGATTTGTAAATTTTGTGTGTAGCTGTTGGTGGCAGCATGGGAGAAGTACAAAGGCACCTTTTTAAAATTTTAACAAGTGGGTAAAGAAGACTGGTGGTATCATCAGCTGACTGGAGGTGAGGTTCTGTGTTTTAATAATGAATGAGGTATAGTAAGGTGAAGATAGATTGTGAAGGGCCTCAAAATGCCCAGTGTTTGTGATGCAGTAGAAATAAGGAAGGTAGCTGGTATGTGATACAAAGAAGACATAGGGTCAAAGTAGTAGCACAGGAAAATTACTTTTGCTTCAGCTTTCAGAATAGATAGGTGCAGGGCAGGCTTGCATTTGTCAAGACCAGTGTAAAGGGTTTTGGAATAATTGTGATGCAAGAGAGCCTAGCTGTGTGATGCATACAAAAGCCAAGTTTTAAAAAGGAAGGCAGAAAGAATCATCAGGCTCTAGACAGATAAAGGAGTCTCTATAGCAGAATCTAGGTAAGTCTGAATTGAGATTTGATTAGTGGTGGTGGACAAGTGGAGAAAGGAAGAAACAGCTGGAGCTTCTGGTTGAAGATGAAGTGCTCTGCTTTGGCTATGTTGAGATTCAGCTGATGGCTCTTTTCCATAAAGCTAGGTTGAGGTTTGAGCTTGGATAGGAGGCAGATATATAGTAGGGCAAGATCTGAGTTTTCAGCCTAGATATTTTAGTTGAATTTGTTTATACAGATGAGATTTCCCACAAATAAGGTGTAGAGGTAGAAGACAGTGGGATCAAGGGCAGAAAGTTTGGAGGAGAGGCAGGAAGCCATGAAAAGATAGACTGAAGAATTGGATTGATGATTAGGACCTGAACAAGAAATGGATGGAATCATATAAGCCAAAAAGGATGGGAGTGGACAGGATGGACAGGATTTCCAGAGGAGTATAACTGATTCTTGTTTAAAGATAATTAACTAGTCAAGCAGAATGGGTATAGAGTGCTATTTCTGTACTTTGGCTATAGAGTCTTTGGTGAGTGGATCATGGTGCTCAACAGGAGGAAGAAGAAATGAGGACATAGGGATGGTGTTGAAGGAGAGGAACCCTAGGGAGTAATTTCCTTATTAACATAGGTTTAAACATCATGGTTATTGCTACTTGGGTAATAGTATAACTATGAATATTACTGTACATGCGCACATAATGAGTTTTTATAAACTCTCAGACAAATGAGCCAAATGCTTTTGGCTCATGCAGCTTTAACTTCCAAGTCATTAGCATGGTGATTCTTAATGAGGGTGATGTGAGATCCTTTGGCTGCCATGGGGTGTGAAGACCTAAGCAGATAAGTAAAGGCTCAAGGTGTATGTCCCCCCTACCCCCGGCCTCCC